TCACGTTATCCAATATAGCCTCGATTTATTTTGAGGCCGAACAAAATTGGGTAGACGCTCTGTACCCGAATTCGCGAAAGCCTGCAAAAACAATAACATGAATAAGAACACATGCGACACATTATGAACACATTATGCGAATAGACACCGTCGCCCTTGGGAACCCATACTGATGAGACTATGAGATGTTAAGGACAACCCGAAACGTTATTGGTCCTTTGTTAATTCCTTGAAGTCATCAGAGCACATATCTCCCGTTCCTGAGCGCGATGACAATGTGTAAAAGAGTGACGAGGAGCGTGCCATGAGCCTGACGTTCGTATATTGCCTGACCCACCTTTGCTCGATGCTCCTGGATTAGACAGCTTTAGCCTACCACATGGCCGCATAGCACACTTGTTACGCGATCCACTGCACACAAGACCTGTGGTCCCGACGGGCTCAGTGCCTGGACTCTCAGGAAATGTGCCGAAGAGCTAGCTATTCCGTTAGAGATAATATGGAAGCTTTCTCTGAACTCTGGCGTCTTCCCCGCCATGTGAAGCAAGCGAATGTGATGCCGGTGCATAAGAAGGGGCTCAAAAAGCTGCCTGAAAACTACAGACCTGTGTCGTTGCTTCCTATCTGCTAAAAAAATATTGGAGAACATTTTGAGTGGTAGCCTATTGCAAGTCTGTCTGCCCGCCATTTCCTCCTCCCAGTATGGATTCATTCCAAAGCGCTCTGGTATCCCAAACCTTTCAAGTTTTCTTGAACACTGTTGGACATCTATCTGCGACTGTGTATAATGTGTATGTGTGTGTGTGTGTATGTGTGTGTGTGTGTGTGCGTGTGTGTGTGTGTGTGTGTGTGTGTGTGTGTGTGGTGTGTGTGTGTGTGTGTGTGTGTGTGTGTGTGTGTGTGTGTGTGTGTGTGTGTGTGTGTGTGTGTGTGTGTGTGTGTGGTGTGTGTGTGTGTGTGTGTGTGTGTGTGTGTGTGTGTGTGTGTGTGTTGTGTGTGTGTGTGTGTGTGTGTGTGTGTGTGTGTGTGTGTGTGTGTGTGTGTGTGTGTGTGTGTGTGTGTGTGTGTGTGTGTGTGTGTGTGTGTGTGTGTGTGTGTGTGTGTGTGTGTGTGTGCGGGTGTTTGGTTGGGTTTTTTGTTTGTGTGTGTATTGTATATTTATTGTTCTTAAAACTGGACTGCTTCCGTAATTGGGCTTTCGCCTGTGGAATGCTTATGAAGTAAATAAACAAATCAACAAACGTACTCTAGCACAGTGAAATGTCCTCTTTCATGGCTTTGGCAGCCGGAGGTACACTGATGTGGAGCGTTGTGTACAAATTAACAATTGACACCACTAGGATATTGGTATTGTCGGGGCCCCCAAATCTTATCTGCCAACAACGTCGAGACGAAATTGCGGGGTTTCCCAGTAATGCCTAGAATTGCAAACCGATCAGAAAGGGTATTTCACAGATGCAGTTTTGGGGCACATTGGGAGTCCCCCCCCCCCTAACGTGACCTTCCTCTTACGCCAGGTGCACTTTCGACGCACAGCGCCTCAGCATCAAAACGGAAAGCGATTTTGGACGAATATTGCATCACTGGCATAGGCTGAAGCAGATCTCGGTTATCTACCAGAAAGTTTCCAGAAGAACCCAGATACCTCTCCTGAGCAATAAGTTACTGGTGCTCATTTATGTCATTTGACCATTGACCTTGTTTGACTTTACGCAGGTCATGGTGAACAAAATCATGCAAGCCTGTTTTGAGTTTTGCACTTGAATAGGCTTCAAAAGTTGCAGAAGGCAGCATGTTTCTAAAATCAATACGTGGAACTGGGTTGTTTTAAATCAGTTACCTATTTTGACCTTTAAGAAGTCTATGAAAGATGCATGATGCAGTTCAATTCATAAATTGAATTCGGAATGAGCACCAGAAGCTACCTCAGCTGTAGAGTAATAAAGCGGGTTTGTTTTGACCTTGGCATGACCGTCACACCTGACCATAAGCCAATTAAATTTATTAATTTCATTGCCGTATTGCCTATCAAACTATTTCAGAGTTGTATGACTTGGCCTCACTCCGATGTGTATCTAGCTGAAAGATTCCCTTACAAATTCGCCTCGCCGAATCCATGACCTGACTTTGACCTGTCGTAGGTCAGCGACCTTCACAGACACATCTAGACTTCTAAATTCTGGACATCAAACGATCCGCTTTTCAGCTGCATTCAATTAAAAGGTTGAACTGCATGTAATGTTCTAGAAATATCAGTTGTTGAAATGTGCACACTCCACATCAAAGCCCCTCCGACTGCCCAGCCCATGAAAGGGCTGAATACATACAAGCATGCTGCTATATATATATATATATATATATATAATATATATATATATATATATATATATACATATTAATATGTCAGTATGGATGTATTCCCAGCTAACTTTGAGAACCCACATATATCAAATGCGTCGGTATCAATGCACCAACGTCCAGTACATATTCATTCGCACCAGGCGGTGCATAATTTGCCGGTTTGAATAAGTCGAAACAATAACGCTAATGATTGTAACAGACTATATTCATGTTTCTACGAACGGTCCCTCTGGCTCATATGGTAAAGCCTGGGCTGACCTGGCTGGCGTGTGTGGGGAATAGAAAGGAGCGATACCTGGAGATCAGATGGGGACGCACTGACATTGAGAGTATGATGCGGTTTGGGCAGTAAACCGAACAGTAGCTGCAGGCGTTACACGGCACGCGTCCAATGTGACCTGTACCCTTCATGGGCGGCGTCAGGCAGCTGGAGTATGCTAAGCTCGGCGTGGGTGATAAGCACATTTGTAACACTGGGGTTTAGCATTGAGCTAAAGCACCGAACAAGTTATTTTAAACAGAGCGAATGAGTTGATGGATGTATTTTAGGTTTCATGAGTGTCGACGCATTACGTCTGCTTCATTTCACTGTTTTTTTTTTCATTTCTAGGTTTTCATTGAGTCCGTATGTCATCTCTGCGTGACTCTGTTTGGCCTCAATATTGACCGCTGACTACGTCGGATAGTGTTACTAGACATGCCATACCATGCATCAGAACGGCCGCCGCAGACCCTCTGGCTGTCAGGTGACTTCACATGCAGTAAGTCGGTGGCGCTTCATGGTCAAGGCCTCAGTCGCTACGGGTGCTGGACGAACGCGCGGGGCTAGAGGCACTGGACACTGACGAGCGAAGACTGCCTGGTAACAAGCCAAACTTGACAAGACTGAGTCGCTTTCACTCTTATTAAAAAGTTTCTAGTTGGTGATCGACAGTGATCTCCAAGCGTGGCGCGACGAGGTGACTTGACTGACGTAAATCTTATGATCTGATCAATATGGACAGCTGTATCAACCCAAAATCTGTCCCCGCCCGGGCTCGAACCGAAGACCTTCCGCGTGTGAACCGAGCATGATAACCACTACACAACGGAAACGACGAGCAGTACTTAAGACCCTGGCGGCGGCCTGCTTGGAAACATATGATTGGGAGGCATGATTGGAGGCAACTTGATTAATGACGGATGCCCTGATTAATGCACTCCATTAATATCTGAGGACATGATAAGCCTAAATTACCCGGATCTCGTCGGTCAATGACATGACCCCCGATGATCTGACCCTGACTCATGCGACCTGTCAACACGGTGCGACTTGGTGTTGTTTTGCAACGTAAAATTGGTGACAGCTAAAAATGGCTCAATGACGACAAATGGGGTCTCATTATGAAAAACCGCTAAGGACTAAGTATTTTTTGCGTAAGTTTCTGTGGTACAACCAAATGTGTGTCAGTATTAGTGAATTTAACCACCACACTCAAATGTATGTGTCACATGTTTTGTACCGAAAAACGAATATGAGTGTCAGTACATTTGGATGCTGTTGTTTCAGCAAAATCGTTTCCGTCACGTTTACCAATAAACTTCAACTGTCGGCTGCACAGCGCCGCGCCTAAATATCCACAGCGCGGAGAACCGTCCTTACAAAATAGCAACTTTAAGGACGATGAATGGTCTTCCATGTGCCGGCAATTGATCGTGACAATATGCGCCAACAAGTGAAAACAAGACATTCTATAACGCTCCGTTCTGAGTCATTGCGGCAAAATCATCGCAAGGTTCGCAAAGGTTGGGGTGGATATTGGCCTTTTCTGCGCTTTCCTGTGTAGCCGCATGCTTTTCTCTCAACAGAATCATTTTCGTCCGGTTTACGTACAACGTATAGCTGCCAACTGCACAATGCCACGCCTGGATATCCACCACGCAGAGCACCGCCAGCCTGAGCTCACGACTATAAGATCAATGCCTGGTCTTCAATATGCCGGCAATGTGCGCGGCGATATGCGTCAACAAAAATAAACAACACAGAACTTTTCAATGGTGGACGTTATAGACCAATGCGAGAACATGATTATAGATTCGCAGATGTTGTTTGGACATTGGGTACCTAACTGCGCTTCAAGCTAATGCATTTGATGACCCAGCGTGCTTTAGTTTAGGCCTTGTCGTGTTGTGGTTGTCATTGCGTAAGTTGTTGTAAGTGCATTGCGAGGGTCATTTTGGGTGTGGATGAGACAGTATTGACAGTCTTATTCTTAGTAGAATAAAGAGGAAACTGGAGAGATAGGCGTAATATTGCGGCCACATGCCTCTATCGAAACGAATATGAGTAGCAAATTTTGTTGCCGATTGCACAGCGCCACGCCTTTCCCCCGCGCGGAGGAAATCGACTCCGTTTGAGCAAGGACAGCACCGGTCCAGGCAGGTGGACCATCACAGCCGAGAACTTGCAACATTTATGTCGAAGAGCCCAGACCTGTGCATGACGTGAGGGCCATACGCGTCCGCCGGAAGCCAGGTCCCCGGACAAAAGTGCAGGGCAAGTGCGAAGTAAAGCCCCAGAACATCAGTTTAGTAATGGAATGTAATGGATCTATGTCTCCCAATCAACCCCCTGCCAGGGTCTGACGCGTCCACTTGTCGTTTCCGTAGTGTAGTGTAGTGGTTATCACGTCCGCTTCACACGCGGAAGGTCCCCGGTTCGAGCCCGGGCGGAAACAGGCTTTGAGTCGGTGGCGTGGTTCACGTTTGGGGGTTTCATTTCATCAGTAATACCAGCCCCCGAGCTCTTGTTGCGATGCGTTTTCTTCTCGCTTCGATTCGTGCCGAGAACGTGTGGCCCCCCCCCCCCATGCTCTCGTCCGTGACCCGTGGTGACTGAGACTCCGGCCGTGAGGCGCCGCCAGCTGACTCCATGTGACGTCACCAGACAGTCAGAGGATCTGCGGGTGTTGTTCCGATGCGTGTCGTGTGATGTTTAGTCACGTTATCCTATGTAGCATTCCGATAATGTTGAGGCCAAGCAAAGTTGGGTCGATGTGTTGTATCCGAACTGATGAAAGCCAGATAAAACAATGACATGAATGGCAACAGATGGCACACATCACCGGCCATGCTGCCCGAATCAAAATGATCAACTCATTCTTTCTGCTTTGGGAAAGCGTCAGTTGCTTTCACCTACATGCTTAACGTAAGTGCAACAAAGGCGCTTGTTATTTACTCCAAGCTTAACATACTGTAGCTGTCTAGCGTCACTCCTGGGTTACAGGTAACAGTGATAAGCATGCGGAATGCGTGTTATTGTTCTGCTTGCTCCAATCAGTATCATAGTTTTCACCATTTCGTGGTCTACCTGAGCCCTAGCTATCGGCCCCGCACATTGCATGCCAGGCCAGCCTAGGCCACATCACGTCAGCCCTGAGGGCCGCTCGTAGCATATGAATGTCGTCATTAGCAGCTGTTTCAAACGAGCTGAAACCAACAAGACGTCACTTTCGGCATGAAGCTAGCGAGGTGATAACGGACGTACATGTTATCACCATGCAAAAGATATCTAAACAAGCGAATGGACACTGTCGCCCTTGGGAACCATCTCGCTGGGATGAGCCTCTAGCGCAGGGAGGGGAATACCTCTTTCATGGGTTTGGTAGCCGGAGGCGCTCTGATGTGGGGCGTTGTGTACAAATTAGCAACTGACTGCTAAAATATTGGACTAGTCGCAGCCCCCAAGTTTAGCAAATTCCCTCTTATTAAAGTGACCTCCTTCTTACGCCAAGTGCACTTTCGACCGTACTATGCCTGGGCATCAAATTGGAAACGTTTCGGACGGATATGGTATCGTTCACTAGGGTGGTGTTAATGGTACCGTGGTAACCATTGTTTTACGGATTTATTCAGTTCATTCATGGACTTATGCCGCTTTAAGTCACGGTCAGATCATCAGATAAGTCTGGGCCAGGTCATCTGGTGCCGCATCAGGGTAGTGAGATGATATTCGGGCAATGAGGGGTTACCCTGTCTCGGGATATTAGTTAGGCTCAGCACGTTAAGCCACGAAGCATTATTTCAGTGATGGAATGAAATGGGTAGATGTCTCCCAATCTTATGTTTTCAAGCAGCCCGCCGCCAGGGTACGACGGTCCTATCAGTCGTTTCCGTAGTGTAGTGGTTATTACGTTCCCGTCACACGCGGAAGGTCCCCGGTTGGAGCCCGGGCGGAAACGGCCTTTGAGTTGATGACATGGTCCACGTTGAGGCTTTCATTGATTTACGTTAGTCATATTATTTCGTCATGCCAGTGGCCGAGCTCTAGACCCAGAGCCCTGGAGCTCTCTGCCAGAGCCATCTGTCTACCAGTAGCTTTCCGATTATTTCCGACCATTTCTGCTAACTCATGTGCAGTTTGACTGGTTGCTAGGCAGACTCTCGACCCGTTTCTACGGCTGGCCCCACCAGGTCGTCCATGACCCGTGGCGGCTGAGACTTCGGCCATGAAGCGTCGCCAGCTGAGCACATGTGACGTCACCAGACAGCCTGAGAATCTGCGGCTGTTGTTCTGATGCGTGCCGTGTGATGCCCAGTAACGCTATCGGACGCAGCCTTCGGGTAATGTTGATGCCAAACGTGGATGGACAGGCGTAATGTACTCAATGCGATGAATGAAAGCCCAAGAAAATAAAACAATGATAGAAAAATGGATCAGAAATGAAAGCAACGGGATCAAACTGTCCATATTTTGAGACGGGGCCAAAAGTATCTTCCCCCTCCCCCATAATTTCAGGCGGCCCAGAAGAGGTCTTCGGTTTTATCGTAAAATTTGCCTACTGTGTTATCAAATCAGGCGTAGAGGGCTCATGTCTGTCTGGTATGGGAAGAGCCTGGTTTAAGGTCAGAAGAGAATCGCTTCGTGTGCGCCAATGGCCCATCTTTGGCTAGTAATGGCCCTTTCAAAGCCGGAAAACATCCATGTCACTTCCAGACATGGCAGGGCCTCTTTCTGATTCGGAAAAGGGCTCCTTGTAAGTTCATAAAGGCATATCATCAACCTAAAATCTGTTTCCTCCCGGTCTCGAACCGGGAACCTTCCGCGCGTGGAGTGGACGTGACAAGTAGTACACTACGGAAACAATACATGACACCATCAGATCGATCCCGAGGCGCACTTTGATTGGGGAATGGAGTACCACGTGATCCATGTGACGCAACTGGTTCAAACTTCAACCAGTCTGCTCCTCGGTAACAGGCCCTTGACAGCTGGGCTAATCACAGACGTTGCTCTTATTCGCACCAGTATAGGTCCGCACGGTGGTTGACATGGATATGGTGTCGCGACTGCAGGGAAGGGGCGTAGTTTCCGTTTCAAAGCGTTGACAGGAAAATCTGTACTCGAAAATGATTAAACCTGATATCCTTATTATTAGGCTTCATGAGTGTCAACGCGTTACGCCTGCGTCATTTCACTGTTTTTTTTTTTCATTTCTAGGTTTTCATTGCGTCCGTATGTCATCTGCGTGACTCTGTTTGGCCTCAATATTGACCGCTGGACTACGTCGGATAGTGTTACTAGACATGCCATACCATGCATCAGAACGGCCGCCGCAGCCCTCTGGCTGTCAGGTGACTTCACATGCAGTAAGTTGGCGGCGCTTCATGGTCAAGGCCTCAGCCGCTACGGGTGCTGGACGAACGCGCGGGGCTAGAGGCACTGGACACTGACGAGCGAGACTGCCTGTAACAAGCCAAACTTGACCAAGGCTGCGTCGCTTTCGCTCTTATTAAAAAGCTTATAGTTAGGATCGACAGTGATCTCCAAGCGGGGTGCGACGTGGTGACTTGACTGACGTAAATGATAGCATCTGATCAATATGGACAGCTGTATCAACCCAAAATCTGCCCCCGCCCGGGTTCGGACCAAGACCTTCCGCGTGTGAAGCGGACGTGCTAACTACTACACAACGGAAAAGACGAACAGTATTGCTAGACCCTGGTGGTGGCCTGCTTGAAAACATATGATTGGGAGGCATCGACCCATTGCATTTCAACACTTGATTAATGACGGATGCCCTGATTAATGCACTCCATTAACATCTGAGGACATGATAAGCCTAAATTACCCGGATCTCGTCGGACTGTCCCTAACATGACCCCTAATGATCTGACCCTGACTTATATGACCTGACAACACAGTGCGACTTGGTGCTGTTTCGCAACGTGAAATTGGTGACAGCTAAAAATGGCTCAATGACGAAAAATGTGGCCCCATGATGCAAAACCTCTAAGAACTAAGCATTTTTCGCGTAAGTTTCTGAGGCGCAACAAAATATGTGTCAGAATTAGTGAATTTAACCGCCACACTCAAAGGTACATGTCACATGTATTGTACAGAAAAACGAATTTGAGTGTCAATGCAGTTGCATGCTGTTGTTTCAGCAAAATCGTTTCCGTCCCGTTTACCAACAACCTTCAACTGTCGGCTGCACAGCGCCGCGACTGAATTTCCACAGCGCGGAGAACCGTCATTACAAAATAGCGACTTCAAGGACAATGTCTGGTCTTTCATATGCCGGCAAATGATCATGACAATATGCGCCAACAAATGAAAACAATGCATTCTGTTACGCTCGACGTTCTGAGTGGTTGCGACAAAATTATTGCAAAGTGCGCAAAGGATGGGGTGGATATTGGCCAGTGAACTGTGCTTTCCATCTACTAAGTTCCATCACCCGGCTGCTCAGTTTAGGGGCCGGCGTGTTGTCGACTGCGTTTGGGAAACATTACATTGACTGTTTCTTGGCCAATTGCTAGGGTCGCAATTGATCTGACGGTGTTGGACTGGAATGAGTGATTTGAAGACGGCACGCGCACATACATGATGGAATATGGTTTTGCATCGTTATCTGCTCGGGTAGCTAAGATCTGACAATAATGTTGACAAAAACTAAAAACCGTCTGATCTGTAGTTGCGCGCAAGCACACGTGCTGCACCGATGAGTGGAGACTGTCTGGTAACCAGCCAAACCTCACCAGACCTTGTTCTTATCGGAATACTTTTAGCCAGTGATGTGCAGCAGGGTCGAAATGTGGTTTGACGAGGCAATGTCACTAACCGTAATCGAAATGCCTCCATCAACTAGATGCCCTCACCAACTCAAAACATGTTTCCGCCCGGGCTCGAACCGGGGACCTTCCGCGTGTGAAGCGGACGTGATAACCACTACACTACGGAAACGATGCATGGCGGCTGCAGACACTGGCGGCGGGCTGCTTGAAAGCATAAGATAGAGAGGCCTTGAACCATTGTATTCAATTAAATGATTAATTGTTGCACCTTGCGTATTGTAGGTCACCAATATCCGGGAACAGGGTAAGCCTAAATTGCCGGGATCCTGGCTAACTGTCCCTGGCTTGGCCCCTAATGACCTGACTCATCTGACTTGACGAACCAGTATGACTTGACAATGTTGCAGTTTCGCTGGGTGGGTTTGGATGGCTGAGGAATGAAAAGTGGCTTAACCTACCCGTGACACAAAAAGCGCTAAAAACTAAATATTTTCCGATGATACATGCAATATAATATAGCAAATGTGGAAAAATTAGCGATTCAACCAACGAATTGGACGGCACGTATCCACATGTTCACAAGATGGAGATAAGTGTCAGTGTAGCTGCGTGCTGTTGTCTCAACAGAATTACTTTCGTCCGGTTTACCTACAACCTTCAG